ACATAGCTTCAACGGTTTACTCATATTCAAATTCAGTACAAGAGGGAAGTTCAACTGCCAGTAATGGCGTAATGGAGTTACTTGTAAGGAAGCTGATCAGCGATCATGGAGGAGCAGTTCGACGGTTCGAAGTGCAGTTCGAAGGTCATCACTGACGAGTATAAAATAGCAGGCAGCCCAGAAGAAAGGAGCGAACTCAGATCATACAATCAGTCATTTACTTCATATATTTTCTTCTCCAGTCTTTTACATTCCAGTCTTTAAATACCTGCATTTTAAATACCCGACTGCACTTCGATTCATAGGAGTAGCTTCAAGTAGATTCAAGTAGATTGCTGTTGTAAACCTCTCCGAGGCTGAGTTTTGGACATTGTAAGTGTTCATTTTATGAAATACTTCATTGTTCTTCATATTACTGTTATTCTTTTAATTTCTCCTAAGTCAAGCCAACCAGTAAAAGCCCTCTTCATTGAGGCTGAAAGAACTAAAACACAATCATCTGGTAATTGGTTGGCCAATCACAAATTCCTGTAAGGACTGATTGATCTTGCTGGCACGCTCACATTTACAAAAATAACCTTCGAAAAGCCAAAAAGCCAACAAGTATTAATTCAAATTCAAAACCTTTTAAAAAATTAAATCCATTTAAGAAACATAATGTTAAGATTAAATTGGATAAATTACATTTTAATCTAGATGATAAATTACATTAAACTGGATAAATCTATTATTGCAGATTAATCTATCTATTATTTGTAGATTAATCTATTATTGCAAACATTTACAAATGATAATATTAAATTTTTTTTAAAAAATTCGAAAAACTAAAAGCAAATTGAATAATTTAATTCCCAATGGAAGCCAAACAACATATTAAAGAAGTAGGATACCTTTAATGGTTTAGCCAATTTTTCCTATGACAACAGCTGATTAAAAAAAAAAAATCAAATAGATCTTTTGTGTAAGATCTATGTGTAAAATCAAATAGAGAGAGGAGTATAAAGATCTTTGCAATTTTCTTATTTGTATAATCAATTTTACTCCCCAAAATTACTATATGTGAGAGAAAGATTTCAGTCAACACTATTACAATGAGCACAAACAAGGTTCTAATTTCTTATTTGAAGTCCTTTGCTGTTCCAATTCTACGTGCACTGAACATATAAAGTTGATCAAGAAGGCTTATTCTTTCAAATTTTGGCTACTTGTATTTCAAGCATCTCCTTGAATATAGCTAGCTATGAGACCTAGGATGGTTTTGAGTGGATGTTTTTTTTTCCCTCCATTTTAGCATTTCATGAGCTAAATTTATATTAAAGAACTGGTAGTTTTGGGTCCAAAATATAAAAATACCATATGGAGGTGGAGTGTGATCATAGAAAGGGAAAACATTATGGAGTAAACAAACAAATCAAATTAAGTAAACAAACAAATCAAAATTTTTAAAACTGAATTTATGCACAATTTCTATGTACAGAATCTTTTTATATAATACACCTAATATTTTCTTAGTTGATGATTCAAATTAATAATATTATTATTATTATTATTATTTTGTTTATAGTTTGATGTTCCATAAAAGCAACAATATAGTATATATGTTAGAACCTAGCAATATTAAATTCTAAATTTAATACTTACAGTGCTTTTGAAGAAAATGAGAATCAAGAATTCTTATTCTATAGTTTGTCTATAAACTGAATTCAATGCTTTTCTACGCCAATTTCCTACGCCAATTTTCTAGCGTATTTTCTATGTACTAAAGCACATCAATATCTGTAAAAAAATTTAGAATACTTAACGTGTAAACACAAAACTAATGTGTATTAACATTTTTTTTTTTTGAACACCAAACTAATTTTTGCTTAATGTTTTTTTGGTGATAAAAAATTTCTGATTTTGGTGATAAACAGTTGACAGTAAACACATTGAGCAGAATTTTTGTCTCTCATCACTAATTTAAACAGTTGACAGTAAACACATTGAGCAGAATTTTTGGTGATTTTGGTGATAAAAAAAGAGCCAAGTGATTTTGGTGATAAAAAACATAGCCTTTGCAACTACAAAAAGCATATACCATAACACATCGTCCATAAAAGTAAACGACAAATTTTAAAGAGCTCCATAAAATATGCAAACAGATTAACAAAAAGAACATTATAGACCTCTTTGCAGGTTCATAAATGTTTTCAACCATAAAAATGTTATACATGATATGACCTAATTAAGTTGAGGCTTACTTGCATATCACCTATAGAGCATATAGGCTGTGAATTTACATAAAACAGCAACACATCCACATGCTTCTTAATGGAAACGTGTTGAACCTTGTAACTGATTAGTCTATGTCATAATACTATTGGGCATTGTTTGTAATTGGAGGAATGGGATTTGCCCCCCCTCCCCCCCACACACACAGAAGAGCATATCACAAATCAAGCATATATGTATTGGTGATCAAAGTTTGAAGATTATTCTTCTAGAACCTTGATATGGGAACAAAGTAATTATTCCTCTGTGCTATCAGAGAAATATGTTAGTTGCCTAATGTCATACCTTCGTAAGGTAGTGTCTACTCTTCTTCAGTTTTACTCAATAGCAAAGCAATAACAAAAGAAATAACAAAAGAAAAAAATTCACCCGTATATATCAGTTGGCTCAATAACAAAAGAAAAAAAAATAAAAAAAAATAAATGAACAAAACAGTCCCTTTATTTTTGAAAACCATTGATAACATCTTGCCTTTAATAGCCAATATGCTTTTTATTTTTTTATTTTTTTGAGAACATTTTTTCTTTTTGTTGAGGTAGGAAAATCTATATCAGCAAGACAAAAAAGTGAGTGTGAATATTTACTATTACCAATTTGGTATCCATATATTTATTATGATGTCAGATTGAAATTAGGACATGAAAATGTAGTCTGATAAGGGGAGGGGAAAAGATGTTAAATAAAAAATCAAATCTCTATTACACCCTTTGTTACTTGTCACTAAGTAGATTGATGATGGAAGGAAATGAAGTTTGTACAAAGTGCTATATGTGTATCAGTCTTACAATCCCTCCAGAAATTGTAGTATACATAGATATAAATGCAGAATATACATCTTTTATCTATCTATTTGGGATGATCAAGTAGGAGCTTGAAATGTAGATGCTATTTAAGTTCTTTAATGAATTTGGATCCATACCTGTTATATTAGCAACCTATATATATGTTTGCATATAAAATTTACTAAAATTAAAAACAGAAGAAAAAAATGGGAGCCAAACAGGGGTAGTTAATATCAATATGCTTCAAGGATTATATAGAAACTTAGCTTGTTTTTTGCTAATATTTTTTGACATGACTGTCTTATACCAGTATACTAATATTCTCATATGTTATCCATATGTGTGTGTTCTTAGATCTTCCGACTCGTATAGAGACCTAATTATAGAAGTATAGTGGTCTGTTGAATATTTTCTAAACTAACCGAGCAGGATGTCGAGCAGCCGAAGTAATGTCGCAGCCGGAGTGAACAACGGTGAGAGTGGTCAGAGTGATCCACAAAAGCTCTGATGAAGGCAAAAGCTGAGAGAGGAAAAAAAAAATTCAAAAAGAAGTTAATAATACTTTTCCATATATCTATAGATTGGCCTGTGCAGAATTTGAATTCAAGTAATCCAGAATTTCTTAAAATTTCTTAACTGCTAGAAAGAAATTTTTAACTGTGTAAAAGAAAAGAAATCTGTTGATTTGCAGAATTTCTTTTGATTTGCAGAAAAGAAATCTGTTGCACGGAGTATCACCCGTGTAATCTAATAAAATTTGCACACACCATAATAACTCAAATCTGCACACACCATAATAAAATGCATATCACCTGTGTAATCCAAATCCAAACCGTATAACTCAAACCATATCACCCGTGTAACTCAAAAAACACAAAAACAGAGCAAGGAATTCAGATGGTAGACAGAGAGGGAAATAGAGAGGGAAGGTAGACAGATGGTAGACAGAGATGGAGATAGAAAGGGAAGGTAGATAGCGGGTATGAGAAGACAGATGGTAGACACAGGGTATGGGAGAGACAGAGAGTAGATACTGATATAAACACAGACAAATCAAATGAACTGTGTTGGGCGGGAACACCCATTGATCTAAACCATCCAGATACACTTAGGATTCATCTGAGCCATTGAATCAAAATGTATCTCACATACATTTTAGACATTTCAAAAACCTTTGTGACTTATTATATAGATTATATATATATATATATATAATAAGAAAGAAAAGAAAGAAAGAAAATTTAAAAAAAAGAAGGAAAATTTTTTTTAAAAAAAATTGTTGACTTAGGTCTCATTTGGGAATAGACTTTTTTAGTAACTTCTTAGTTTTATGGCTAAAATATGATGTAAAAAATTTAGTATATTTGGGATGATTTTTTAACTTTTTATGAAAATATATGTAAAAATTAGAAAAAAAAGAGAATTTTTAATTTTTTGATATAAAGTATTGAATTTTTTAATTTTTTTAATAATTTTTTAATTTTTTAACTAAAAGGGACACTCGTTAAATGAGGCCTTATTTGGAGGTCTCAAACAACTTTTATAAGCAGAAGTTAGTGAACAATCTCACATAAATTAAAAAAATAAAAATGTAGATGCACATGGGGATGGGACATGGGACCAATATATTATCAGTGATGTTAGAGATTTTTAATTTAGATACTCTAAACACATCTCTAAAGAAGTGAAAAAGGAGAAAAAAAATAAAAAAAAAATAAACACAACACTGACAGTAACAGTATGTGAAATTCACTACCTCATGACTAGTGGCATCTCTAATTAGATGTTCCAAGCATTTTTGATATATTATATCAAAGTAGAGGTAGAAACAGAGTCCACGTGGTTGGTGGGAAACATGGGAGAGTCGGATGGAGAGCACGTTCTCATTGGTCCGAAATCTATCCAAAGAGAGATCTTAGATTTCATGTTCAGATTTCACTTATCCTACTTGGCTCTTCCCAAATCCCCCCCTTTTGATCACACTTCATCTCTCTCATCATCTTCCACATATACGGTTTTGCTTATAACATCCTCATTCTTCATTTGAGACACAAAAATTAACATACCCACATATATATATCTATAATATAATACATTTTTAGAGAGAGAGAGAGAGAGAGAGAGAAAGAGATGGCTGCAACATCAGCTGCAGTGCTAAATGGGTTGGGGTCTCCTTTCTTGTCTGGTGGCAAGAGGAGCCAGGCCCTGTTGTCTGCACCCATTGGAGCCAGAGCTGGTGGTGGTGCTGCGGTGGTTCCGAGGAGGTTTGTGGTGGTTGCTGCTGTTGCTCCTAAGAAATCTTGGATCCCTGGTGTCAGAGGCGGTGGCAACTTCATTGACCCTGAGTGGCTCGATGGCTCGTAAGTCCTACACAAAATCTTCTCTCTCTAAATTTGTTCCCATCTTATTTAGTCCTATTTATTAAGATTACTTAGTTTTTGTTAATTATTATTTTGAGAATGTGTGTTATGTAAACAAGATAAAAATAAATAAATAATTTTTTTTTTAATTTTTTATCATTGTAGATTGGAATAGTGATGTTTTTAGTTTATATTTTTTAATGATGAACTTCCAGTTCAACCACCGAGAGTAGTGGTCCAGTGGTGAAGGTCTTTCCACAGTCATGAGTCGAAAATCTTAGATTTTTCAGGGGCTCTTTTTTAAGCCCTCGCGCTGTACGCCGATCGACATTTGGCTTGATTGGGGCGGTGAATCCGGGCACCGGGCCTGGGCCTTCGGAGGTCATGATGACACCTCAAAACTTCTTTTATTCTCGATCAAAAAAAAAAAAAAAAACTTCCAGTTTGTAAAAACTCCCATCAAATAAGCCCTCAATCTTCTTTTGAAAATTAGCTAAAAATTAATTTTTATGATTTTTTTAAATAATTAAATTGGATTTTTTAACAAAAAAAAATTGAGTTTGTGAAATAAATTAAGATTTTTATACCCAATATACTGACTTTTTAGTGACAACCAAACACAGCCTAATTCACTTTTAGTCTACTATATGTGTCTCGAGGTTCTCATCAAATCTCAACTAAAATTACATTTGAGAAATTCTCATCAAATATTAGCGGGAAGTACATTAAAACAAAAGAGACAGAATACATATGCTTTTATTCTGCAAACTTTAATTGAGTTTTTATGTTCAATGCAGGCTTCCAGGTGACTACGGATTTGACCCACTAGGCCTAGGAAAGGACCCAGCATTCCTCAAATGGTACAGAGAGGCTGAGCTAATCCACGGCCGATGGGCGATGGCGGCAGTGGTTGGCATCTTCGTTGGGCAAGCCTGGAGCGGCATCCCGTGGTTCGAAGCAGGTGCCGACCCAGGCGCCATCGCCCCTTTCTCCTTCGGCACCCTCCTGGGCACCCAACTCCTCCTCATGGGATGGGTTGAGAGCAAGAGATGGGTTGACTTTTTCAACCCAGAATCCCAGTCGGTTGAGTGGGCCACACCGTGGTCGAAGACCGCGGAGAATTTTGCCAACGCGACCGGTGACCAGGGCTACCCGGGTGGAAAATTCTTCGACCCGTTGTGCCTGGCTGGCACGATCGTCAACGGGGTGTACATTCCAGATAAGGAGAAGTTGGACAGACTGAAATTGGCTGAGATTAAGCATGCTAGGCTTGCTATGGTGGCTATGTTGATTTTCTACTTTGAGGCTGGACAAGGGAAGACACCCCTTGGAGCTCTTGGATTGTAAAATGTTGTGTTTTGATTGTATGAGAATGTAAAAAAATGGTAACTGGATTTAGAGAGATTAAATTCAAATGGTGAATTATCTTTTGGAGATGTGAGTGAGTGTTCCCCCAAAGAAAATTCAAATTGGAAATTCTCTTGACTTGAATCTTCTTTGCAAGATGATGATTTGTACTTTCTCTTGGGAAGATTAGTGAGAAATAGTTTGTATGTAAGATAACAAAAAAAAAAAAAAAAAAAAAAAAAAAAAAAAAAATGTGGTTATGCATACTCAGACAATAGTAATGTTAATTCCATATATAATTTATAAAAAAAAAATAATGGCGCTCGAATTCATTCCACATTTAGTCATTTGGGCTGGAGTGGGAAACACCAGAATGAATCATACTGTGAATAGGATCCATATGTTTAGGCAAAAAACATATTCTACAAAAAAATATTTTTCAAAATACTCATTTGTAGTTACGATTTTGGTAAACTTATATTTTAGTAGTGGTGATGGTGGCTCCATAAATATTTTCTACTTTGTTCCCAAAGTAAGCTTTTTCTTATTGAATCAAAAAATAAAAAATAAAAAATAACTGACTTTAACTTTTTGTCATACCATAAATATGTGAGTTTTTGTGTTGAGACGACAAATGCTCATAAATTTTAACATCAGCAAAAGGCTATGCTAAAAAGAAATACAATAAAGGGAAGGAAATAGCAGTTTTAAGGCATCATTTAACTACCCACCCAAAGCCATCAAAAATTCACCCTCACATACCAACTTCCCTCCAACATATGCCTTCCCTTCCATCTTCGCTACTCCGAACCGTTTTTGCAGCTTGACAAGTGTCATTCTCATCACCAACGTGTCGCCTGCGACAACTGGCTTCCGGAATCTGACACAGTCGATTCCAGCAAAGAAGAAGTTGTCGCGGGGTATTCCCACATCTGGTTGCAGCATAACTATGCAACCAACCTGTGCCATTGCCTGAGTCCAACATTCATTCTAATCATCAGTAATTATCCAAAATACAAGCACTAGACCCAAATGCGAACAAGGATTAGTACATGCTCTCAAACAAAAAATTTAGATGCTGATTCAAATAAATATGAAGCAATTACCTCAATCATGAGGACACCAGGCATAATTGGTCTCTCAGGGAAATGCCCAGGAAAGAAGTTGTCATTTATTGTTACATTTTTAATAGCAACAACTGAAACTCCTGGATTGTATTCAATCATTCTATCCACTAATAGAAAAGGAAAGTTGAAACCCAAAAATAAAAATAAAAATGAAGCATTAATAATTAATAGAGTCATAATAAAGAAATATTTGACGTACATTTATTTTCATACAAACGCCATAAAATACCATAACCACAGTTATTGGACTGGTGGACTGGGACAACACAACACGACGGTCCACCAGTCCATTACATGGACTAGAGAGAACTTGGGCCGATTTGAAACTCCACATAAGTGAATAACTACTAAACTTCTTTCAAATTAAACCCATCTTCCTCATTCATGAAACCACCAAAAAAATTTATAAACCCTCTTGATCACACTCAATTCACATAAAAATAAAAATAAGAAAATACAGACCGGTAGGGCAAAATCTCGCGAATCTGATTGATATCCATCATAGAGGGAAATGCTGGATACTCTGCACACACACAAGAAGAAAAAAAGAAAAAGAAAAGAAGAAGAAGAAGAAGAAGAAGAAGAGAATTTAGATATTAATTGGACATAGTTTGAGAGAGAGAGAGAAAGGGTAGAGAATCAAATGCGTACGCAATTCAATGGGAACCTCTTGGGTTGTAGTTTCATTGTCATTTGCTGCAGAACAGTTATTTACAAAAAGGCTACGATTCTTCTTCTTCTTCTTGGATTGGGGAGTGGATACAATGAGTGATCTGGAGATGGAAGCAGAGTTTCGAGATGACAAGGCCGTTGTGGATTGAGGCAGAGACAGAAGCGGTGTGGGTTCGGTGAGGGAGAGATGAGTGGCAAATGAGGGGAGTGGACATTGTGTGTGAGGCCATTGTGGATGCCATTGTCGACAGAGAGAAGAGAAGAGAAGAGAAGGGAGAGATGGATATTACTTATTAGGTCCGTTTGGAAATAGACTATTTTAATAATTTTTTAATTTTTTAGTTAAAATATGAGATAAAAAAACATTATATTTTGAATAATTTTTTAGTTTTTTACGAAAAATATGCAAAAATAAAAAGGAAGGGAGTCTTTGACTTTTTAATATAAGTTATAGACTTTTTGATTTTTTTTAGTAATTTTTTGACTTTTACAGTGTATGAGAGGGTTCAAGAAAGTTGTTAGAAAACTCAAAGATCTTCGAAGATGAAGGAAAATTCGAATTCTCTAAAAGATGATGAGAGACCTAGATTCTTTAATAGTCTCAACTAAGAACACAAAAGTAAAGAAATGATGGAGATAAGAGATTGGGTGAAGAAGATGGCAAAGTAGCTAGAGAGAGAACAATGGCAAGGCTCTCCCATGGATTTTCCACTTTCACTTTCAAAGTTGATAATGGAGAAGGGAAATTAGTTCTTTCCCAAGAGTTTTCTCTCCAAAATCTATCTCTTGTAAAGCTATGAGTGGGTACTATTTATAGACACCTTATGATGTAGGATGGAGCCCATATGCAAGGCATATGGGGAATATTCTATGTAATTACCTTGTCTGAGGAGGTGACTTCTCTGAGAATGAGAAAAACCCCAAAGAGGAGATCAACCTCCCGACGAACCCTTCTTCTTAGCCACACCTAACTAGTGATCCCCAATTATCCCAAAAGGCCAAGGGTAGTCCCAGAGGACGTCCTGTCGCATAAGGGTCAGAGATAGTTCAAGAAATTGCCCTGCCACAAATATTATCGAGTCTCAGGGACCCCCTAGATCGTGCCACCTCAACCCGGGTATAGGCTAGTTTAACCGAAGAGTGAATTTATCTCCACTCACTGTCCTCGGGATCGGGTCCTTTGTTCGGACTCCATTACGCCCATGGTTTTGGTACGTAGATCCCAGAAAGCTCTGAGTCCGCAAGTGTTCTGGGACTCATTAATGGAGCGGCTTCTAGATTACATCTGAATCCGTTCGAAGGTCAAATGCTTCGGATCTCTAGGTTCGGGGATTCGAACCCTTTCAAGTCCGGGCTCGAGTAAGTCTCTAGGTTCTTGGATCCGAACCCTTTCGAGGCTTAGAGTGATTCGGCCCATTTGATGGCGATAAATCCGGGCCCACTAACTTTGGATTACTGGGCCTAATTAATTTAGTGAGCTTAAATTAGCTCCTCTTACATTTGCCTCTTGCGTATATGTGAAATTGTAGTTTTTTCGGACATGCATAGTTTCACCTTGTCAGCCATGCTTCGCATTACGTTTTCAAGAATATTTGGTCTTCATGTGACTTTTGGATAAAATTGATGACTCATAATGTAAATTATGGGTAAAGTTGACAACTAATAAAGATAAGAATTTTTATTTTATTTTAATTTAGATATTAATTGGACATAGTTTGAGAGAGAGAGAGAAAGGGTAGAGAATCAAATGCGTACGCAATTCAATGGGAACCTCTTGGGTTGTAGTTTCATTGTCATTTGCTGCAGAACAGTTATTTACAAAAAGGCTACGATTCTTCTTCTTCTTCTTGGATTGGGGAGTGGATACAATGAGTGATCTGGAGATGGAAGCAGAGTTTCGAGATGACAAGGCCGTTGTGGATTGAGGCAGAGACAGAAGCGGTGTGGGTTCGGTGAGGGAGAGATGAGTGGCAAATGAGGGGAGTGGACATTGTGTGTGAGGCCATTGTGGATGCCATTGTCGACAGAGAGAAGAGAAGAGAAGAGAAGGGAGAGATGGATATTACTTATTAGGTCCGTTTGGAAATAGACTATTTTAATAATTTTTTAATTTTTTAGTTAAAATATGAGATAAAAAAACATTATATTTTGAATAATTTTTTAGTTTTTTACGAAAAATATGCAAAAATAAAAAGGAAGGGAGTCTTTGACTTTTTAATATAAGTTATAGACTTTTTGATTTTTTTTAGTAATTTTTTGACTTTTACAGTGTATGAGAGGGTTCAAGAAAGTTGTTGGAAAACTCAGATCTTCGAAGATCCTTGAAGGAAAATTCGAATTCTCTAGAAGATGATGAGAGACTTAGATTCTTCAATAGTCTCAACTAAGAACACAAAAGTAAAGAAATGATGGAGATAAGAGATTGGGTGAAGAAGAAGGCAAAGTAGCTAGAGAGAGAACAATGGCAAGGCTCTCCCATGAATTTCCCACTTTCACTTTCAAAGTTGATAATGGAGAAGGGAAATTAGTTCTTTCCCAAGAGTTTTCTCTCCAAAATCTATCTCTTGTAAAGCTATGAGTGGGTACTATTTATAAGCACCTCATGATGTAGGATGGAGCCCATGTGCAAGGCATATGGGGAATATTCTCTGTAATTACTTTATCCGAGGAGGTGACTTCTCCGAGAATGAGAAAAACCCCGAAGAGGAGATCAACCTCCCGACGAACCCTTCTTATTAGCCACACCTAACCAGTGATCCCCAATTATCCCAAAAGGCCAAGGGTAGTCCCAGAGGATGTCCTGCCGCATAAGGGTCAGGGGTAGTTCAAGAAATCGCCCTGCCGTAAATATTATCGAGTCTCAGGGACCCCCTAGATCGTGCCACCTCAACCCGGGTATAGGCTAGTTTAACCGAAGAGTGAATTTATCTCCACTCACCGTCCTCGAGATTGGGTCCTTTGTTCGGACTCCATTACGCCCATGGTTTTGGTACGTAGATCCCGGAAAGCTCTGAGTCCGCAAGTGTTCTGGGACTCATTAATGGAGCGGCTTCTAGATTACATTTGAATCCGTTCGAAGGTCAAATGCTTCGGATCTCTAGGTTCGGGGATCCGAACCCTTTCAAGTCCGGGCTCGAGTAAGTCTCTAGGTTCTTGGATCCGAACCCTTTCGAGGCTTAGAGTGATTTGGCCCATTTGATGGCGATAAATCCGGGCCCACTAACTTTGGATTACTGGGCCTAATTAATTTAGTGAGCTTAAATTAGCTCCTCTTACATTTGCCTCTTGCGTATATGTGAAATTGTAGTTTTTTCGGACATGCATAGTTTCACCTTGTCAGCCATGCTTCGCATTACGTTTTCAAGAATATTTGGTCTTCATGTGACTTTTGGATAAAATTGATGACTCATAATGTAAATTATGGGTAAAGTTGACAACTAATAAAGATAAGAATTTTTATTTTATTTTATTTTTCATGTTTGGCCAACATATTTTTGTGCCTCTTTTTTTCTAATATGAATTCAAATCAAATTTTTTTTTAGACATATGAAGAATATATATTTTTTTCACTCTATAAAAAATAAAGCACTCATCAGAATACTTCTCCACTCCAAAAAAAATAAAGCACCCATTATCTTTCATTTTTTTTATTCTTAAAAAGATAAGGCACATTGTATTTTTTTTTCAGCGGTGCTAGTGCTGCTCTAAAAGCAGCTCTACTGAGGTGACATCCTATTTTTTAAAAAAAAATTAAAAAATAAGTAAAAGACAAAACAAGAAGAAGTAAAAGACAAATTAATACTCATTTAGAGCTCCTCTTTTAGAGGTCTAAATCATTTTTGTTTTTTTTTAGTCCAACTTGACCCTACATTTTGTTTCAACAACTGGCATAATTTCAATTTGGAAGATTCTCCAGAATATTCGGAGGTCTATTGTATATGAGAAATATTAGTGATCATGAAATTTTTTTTATGAAAATTATTATGAAATGTTTATGATCCTTAGATTACCTTGATTAGTGTGTAGTACTTTATTCTAAATGTAATCTAAAGATTACAAATCTTTTATGATCATTTTTATGAAAGACTTTTTATAATACCTAACATTGTTGATTGTATATATATATATATATAACCCTTTAGCATATCTGAAGGCTCAGATCACTAGATCACCAATCAAAAGGCAAAAAGCTTATGCTTATCCCTTTTTTTTTTGGGAAATGCTAGGTTTCATGAAGAATTTTCATGAAAACTGTCATGAAAATCATCTGCACCGTTAGATCAGGTATGTGTCTCATGATCCAACGGTGCAGATGGTTTTCATGACAGTTTTCATGACAGTTTTCATGAAACGTAGCAGGACTCCCTTTTTTTTTTTAATTCTGAAATGTAACCAAGCAGCAAAACTATTATTTATTTATTTAAAATCATCTTCTCTGCTCAGCACAGGCCCGAACTTGAACATTTTCTCAAGCACCGAATCAAGGCTTTTCATTGCTTCTGCAATCACCGAACCAGACTCCTATAATTTCTTTTTTTTATTCATTTGTTTCTAAAACCGCCGATGACCACCAATACCATTGCTGACTTACTTTTCCTTTTCTTACACTTCAGTTGGGAGTACGCACCGTCATGAGCCACTGTTGTTTCTTGCCAAAATGTTATCTGCAGATCTATTCCATGCGAGAACCAAACGTGGATCTGCCTTAGCGTGTGACCAGCCAACTCGCGCGTCCTGTGCATTTTCCGTTCGTCACCTGCAGCCTCACTACTGCTTTTAGTCGCAGTTGACTAGTGCTGACCACGCCGCCTACCCAACGCGGCATTAGTTTGGTTCGCCCAACTGCCTGTGCACGCTGCCCGTGCCGTCCCTGGGTGTGTGCGTCTCACACTTCGGCCTTGCCACTGCTTCCAGCCACGGCTCGCGCCATTTCCGCCTTGCACTACTTTTTGATTTCTTTCTTGCTCATTGTTGCTTCAAATCTGATCTTGGTCTTTTAGATCTGTGGGTTAGCTCTGTTCAAATCCACTTCCCCTTTTTGTTTTGATTGATTTTTATGCTCATGAGCTTGGATTTGTGAAATACATATTTGGAATTTTGCAATCTTGCCTATGTACTCACAGCACTGTTTTGTTTGATTTGAGAATGATAAAACGTTGCTATACTCTGTTGTTTATTTGCTTATATTCAAAATAAATGAACCTCGGTGCCCTTAGAACCCACACTAATGAGAGCAAGGGCTATTCCTCGAAAGTTCGAACGGAAGTAAGACTGTCACTCGGGGGGTCTGAAAGTAGCACACACCCTACTTCGGCAAGAAAGGTCTCTCTGGAAGGCAACCGAGTCTACTAAGCTTGCACTAACAAAAGTAAAGATTCTCTATCGGAAGTCCA